TTTTGTTAAATTTAGATGATCTACGGAAGGCACCGGGGCTTCCCCAGACCATTTCAAATTTTGAAAATCCTTAAAATCCTTACTTTTTTTGAACGGGATGTTAAGGGCTTTAAGGAATTTAAGCCATTCCAAATTTTCAGGACTTAAAAGGCGTTAAAGCCCGTAAAAACCTGAAAGCTTTTATCCCTAAAAATTCTAGAATACCCTAACATTGTAAAGGGCAGCCGTTCAAAATTAAGGAAGTTACTTGATTTTAGAATTGAACATCAAATCCTTAAACTTTAAAAGGACAGCCATTTACAACTGCAAGAATTTCAGGGTTTTAAGGGCTTGTAGAAATTTACATGGTCTGGGGAAGTCTGGGGAAGACATCGGGGCTTCTCCAGACCATTGACAACTTTAAAAATCCTTAATTTCCTAAAAGGGCAGCCACTAAAATGTTTAAGCATTTTAAGGTTCTTCAAAAGCTTTAAAACCTTGAAAACCCTGAGAATGTTTAAGCAGAATTTTAATGACTTTTAAAAGATTTTAAGGATTATAAAAGCTCAGATGGTCTGGGGAAGCCCCGGTGCCTTCCCCAGACCATTTATATAAATTTGGTTTTTGAAAACTGGTCTGGGGAGGCCCCGGTGCCTTCCCCAGATCATGAAAATTTGAAAAAAAACCCTTGAAACCCTGAACCCTAAACACCAAACCCGAAACCCTTCACACTAAACCCTAACCACTCAGCACCAGACCCTAAACACTAACCCTACAAAACTTAATACTAAGCCCTTAGCACGAACCCCAAATACCTAACACGAAACCAACGCTACACCCTAAACACTAAACCCTAAACATTATACACTAAACCCTACACACTAAACCCTGAACACTAAACCCTAAACCCTAAACCCTAAGCCCCGGTGCCTTCCCCTTATCATTCAAAATTTGTGAAAATCCTTAACGCCCTTAACCCTAAAAACCAAACGCGAAACCCTTAACACTAAACGCTAAGCACTCAACACTAGACCCTAAACACTCACCCTTAAAAACTTAACACTAAGCCCTCAGCACCAACCCCAAACACTTAACACGAAACCCTAAACGCTTAATCATAAACCCTAAACACTACACCCTAAAAACTAAACCCCAAACATTACACACTAAACCCTACACACCAAACCCTAAACCCCAAACAATAAACCCCAATGCCGGAACCTCAAGCCCTACTAAATCTAAACCTGACACCAAGAACCCGTCGGGGATTCAGATGCTTATTGTTTGGATTTTAGAGTTTAGGGCTTTGTTTGGTTTAGGGTTTTAGCCAAGCCGCTTGACCCTAAACCCTAAAAGTAAACCCTAGACCCTAAACTTAACACTCAACCCTAAAGACAAAACACTAAACCCTGAAACCTACACACTAAACCCTAAACACAAAACACTAAACCCTAAACCCGAAACAACACATCCTGAACCCTAAGCCCTAAACACTAAACCCTAAACCCCCCAAAAAAAACACGGGGGTTTTAGTCCTTTAGGGGTTTTAAAACTTCATCATTATGAGGTTTAGTGTTTTAGACATTGCCCAGGTCGCTTAACCCCAAACCCTAATAAGTAAACCCTAAATTTTGAAAACCAAAACCTAAACACTAGACCCTAAACACTAAACCCTAACCCTAAAAACTAACCGAGAAACACTAAACCGTAATCCCTAAACGTGCATATGGAGAACATGGGCCCCGGACTCCAGACTCCAGATTGCCAGAAAAATCTGGAGTACCCGGGCCCCGGACTCCAGATTTCCAGAGGAAATCTGGAGTACCCGGGCCCCGCAATTCAGACTCCAGATTTCCAGAAAAAATCTGGAGTACCCGGCTCCGGACTCCAGACTCCAGATTTCCAGAAAAAGTCTGGAGTACCCGGGCCCCGGACTCCAGACTCCAGACTTCCACAAAAAGTCTGGAGTACCCGCGGCCCCAGACTCCAGACTCCAGAAAAAATCTGGAGTACCCGCGGCCCCAGTCGCGGCCCCAGACTCCAGACTACAGACTCCAGAATCTGGAGTCCAGGGTCCCGGTACTCCAGATTTTTGTCTGGAAAACTGGAGTGCGGAGTCTGGAGGTACTCCAGATTTTTTCTGGAAATCTGGAGTCTGGAGTCTGGGGGTACTCCAGATTTTTTCTGGAAATCTGGAGTCTGGAGTCCCCCCCCTCCCAAAACCAGCCTTCCCGAGGCCAAATGCGTGGATCTTGGGGGGGGCGAGCATATATATATATATATATATATATGGTACCCCCCCCCAAGTACCTAGGTCTCATTTTCTTACCTGTCTCAGGTACCGGCCTCAGATGACTTGCCTCTTGTAGGGTTTAGGGTTTAGGAGTGAAAGTGCTGTACTGTCCCTAAAACACCAATCCCAGAAGCTGAAAGTGCTGTACTGTCCCTAAAAAACCTAAAAAACCAATTCTGGTGGCCTATACAGACAGGCCCTCTTCCAAAGATTGGTTTTTTAGGGACAGTACGGCACTTTGAAGGCCTGAGGTGCTGAAAGTGCCGTACTGTCCCTAAAAAACCAATCCCAGAAGCTGAAAGTGCTGTACTGTCCCTAAAAAACCTAAAAAACCAATTCTGGTGGCCTATACAGACAGGCCCTCTTCCAAAGATTGGTTTTTTAGGGACAGTACGGCACTTTGAAGGCCTGAGGTGCTGAAAGTGCTGTACTGTCCCTAAAAAACCAATCCCAGAAGCTGAAAGTGCTGTACTGTCCCTAAAAAACCTAAAAAACCAATTCTGGTGGCCTATACAGACAGGCCCTCTTCCAAAGATTGGTTTTTTAGGGACAGTACGGCACTTTGAAGGCCTGAGGTGCTGAAAGTGCTGTACTGTCCCTAAAAAACCAATCCCAGAAGCAGAAAGTGCCGTACTGTCCCTAAAAAACCTAAAAAACCAATTCTGGTGGCCTATAGAGACAGGCCCTCTTCCAAAGATTGGTTTTTTAGGGACAGTGCGGCACTTTGAAGGCCTGAGGTGCTGAAAGTGCTGTACTGTCCCTAAAAAACCAATCTTTTCGTGAGGGTCTACCTGTATAGGCCTCCAGAATTGGTTTTTTAGGTTTTTTAGGGACAGTACAGCACTTTCTGCTTCTGGGATTGGTTTTTTAGGGACAGTACGGCACTTTGAAGGCCTGAGGTGCTGAAAGTGCTGTACTGTCCCTAAAAAACCAATCTTTTCGTGATTGTCTACCTGTATAGGCCTCCAGAATTGGTTTTTTTGGTTTTTTAGGGACAGTACGGCACTTTCTGCTTCTGGGATTGGTTTTTTAGGGACAGTGCGGCACTTTGAAGGCCTGAGGTGCTGAAAGTGCTGTACTGTCCCTAAAAAACCAATCTTTTCGTGAGGGTCTACCTGTATAGGCCTCCAGAATTGGTTTTTTAGGTTTTTTAGGGACAGTACGGCACTTTATGTTTATGGGATTGGTTTTTTAGGGACAGTGCGGCACTTTGAAGGCCTGAGGTGCTGAAAGTGCTGTACTGTCCCTAAAAAACCAATCTTTTCGTGAGGGTCTACCTGTATAGGCCTCCAGAATTGGTTTTTTAGGTTTTTTAGGGACAGTACGGCACTTTATGTTTATGGGATTGGTTTTTTAGGGACAGTACAGCACTTTGAGGGTCTGAGGTGCTGAAAGTGCTGTGCTGTCCCTAAAAAACCAATCTTTTGAAGACGGGCTGCCTGTACAGGTCCCCAGAATTGGTTTTTTAGGTTTTTTAGGGACAGTACAGCGTTTTCCGCTTCTGGGATTGCTTTGTTAGGGACAGTACAGCACTTTCAGCCCTTCAGATCCCCAAAGTGCTGTACTGTCCCTAAAAAACCAATCTTTTCGTGACGGCCTGCCTTGTAATTATAGGCCTCCAGACTTGGTTTTTGTTTGTTCAGAGAGCACAGTTCAGCAGCAATAAAGCTAATTCAACTATTTGTTAAAAACTGTGATGTAAGTAACATTTTATCTAATCGATGTAATGCCTAAATGACACGACGAGGTCAAGTTTCCTGATAAGTAGGCTTTAATTAATCTAATTTGCTTTACAACTGTCATTCATTTAGTCTGGTTGAGGTTGAAGTAAAAAAAGGATAGACATTTAGTTAGTTGAATGCTATCTACCTCTTAGAATCAGAAACTAAATGTAGTTTTTTCTTGGGAAGGCCTATTAAAGTATTCGTTTAAAGTAAATAATCTAGTCAGGCCGAACCAATTGAATTGTTGTTAAGGATCGTGGCTTGTTTAATTTAAATTATCGAATTCGTTTAGTTAAGGGTATACTAATTAGTTTCATTCATTTGCTTCACCTTTAAGTAAACTAAATCCACAATTGAAATGATTTTGACTACATTAATATCAGCAAACAAAAGGCCGTAGTTACTGTTCTTAGTAAGTTTAGTTCATTGAATTCCTTTAGTTAATTATTGGTCTACGAACTCAATTTATTTACTAACCCTTCAGAAGACTAATCAAATTGTTGGAAAGACTTTACGTATGTTATTTTCCAGAAACGAAAAACTTTAGTTAAATTAAGTACTGTGCTTGTTCACGAAAAGAAGAAGGAACATGTTTTAGCTCACTCAATGAATGCTTAAGTGAAGCCATTAGGTCAGGTTCCCTATTACGCATTATGTTTTAATTAATGTAGTGTATGAACAAGTTTAATTACAGGCCTGTCTTTTCTAGCACAGAAGCAAAAACACGTGTAACATGATTCCGTCGCACGCTGTGTTGCACTGCTTGCTGCGTCTGTCGCCTATGTGTTGGGCAGTATCCTCCATTCCGTTCATGCGATTCAAAAAACACGTTTTTTAGTAAATCCTACGAAAAACACACTCTTTGCGGCGTCACAGCGTGACTGAGTAACAATGCTAGTGCGGTTGTGGCCTGGAGGGATTGGAAACATCTGAAACGCATCTCTACATGCATAGTGCCATTTTGGCACGAGGCTCCCTCAGCGCTATTTGATTCTTTGTCGGCCATGGCAGCTCAGTTGCCGACGGCTACGGAACTAGCTGGGATGAATCTGCTGAGCGACATTGTTCAGTGGACCGGGGTGGCAACTGCAGTATGGACCGACATTGATCGTCAGCTAGGAGTCATGCCCAACATCCGCATTTTCTCGGCCTTGCCGTTAGCCACATTGAGGCACGCATTGGGCAGCGTGCGAATTCCTGTCACAGGGGGTGAGCCTAGGGCCCTTAGCCCTGTGGAAGTTATTCAGGTGGCGTTGATGTGGCGTGTGGCTAGAAAGAAGTTTGACCTACCGGATTTGGATCCTCTCGAAGATCCCGGTCAGCAAGTAGGTTCAGCTGCTCCTGCTCAAAGCGCGGGACAAGCCCCAGCAAAGCGAATCAAAACCTCATCAGTTCTGGACCAGCTGGATGAATCAGAGATTGAGTTGTTGAGCAAGTCCGAGCTGGATAGAGCTTATGTGAACTATCAAGAGATTACAGGTGCCGAACCCACCCCGGATTCGGAGCCTACACCAGAACAAGTGGCCGCACTGCATGCTAAGGTAGTTGCGCGTGGTGAGGCTCCATACGCTGATTTCTCGGTGCTGACGCCTTTTGGCCGACGCGTGCAGAAGCAGATGAAGGCTCGGGCGTGGGTGCTCCAACAAGACGGAACTTTCAAAGCGCTGGATGTGCCCGGGCCACCGTCCTTTGAGGCATGGGCAGCTTGTTGGGAGGTCTACAAAACATGCCTGTTTATGCTCAGGCACCCTGGTACTGGGTCACCACCGGTGCCGAAGCAGGTGGTTACCTCTGCTTGCTTGGACGAGTACTTTAAGCGGGTGGCTAGGCTCAACGCAGATTATCCTGAATGCTGGCATTTGCTCATGGTGGCTGAGGACAAGCTGCGTGCAGAGCTTTTCGAGAGATTTCGCCGGCAGCTCACGAAGGCTAGCCTTGAAGGCCGCCTGCCAATGGGCATCAACTTTGATGCCGCTGCCCCGTGGACAGGTGTGTTTGTCTATGCTGCCCGAAACTGGGAGTACTGGCACGACAATGTGACAAAGCCAGCTCAAGATTTCTTGGCAAGGGGCGGCAAGCTTATGAGCGCTGAGAAGGCCAGCAGAATCAACGTGCCAGAGCATGTGCAGGAGGCTGTTGACAATGCTATGGGAAAGGGTGCAGCCGGTGGCAGGTCGTTCCAGGGGACCCCATTTCAAGGAACCTCAAGGCAAGCCAAGAAGCGCAGGAAGGAACGTGAGAGGAGAGAGTCGGAAGAGCAAGCTCCGAAGAGGCCTGCAGCTGGAGCTCCAACGTCGCAGCATCCGAAGAAGGTCGGGGGCCTGTTTGTCACCACAGCTGATGGCACTGAGGTGTGCTTTGCGTACTCCAAAGGGGATGGCACAGCATGCGAGGAGCCATGTAAGAACAAGAGGGCCCACTGCTGCCAGTCATGCTTGGGGCCGCACCCAACGTCCCAATGCCCCTCCAAGGGGGCTGGAAAGGGCGGACGTGGCAAGAGCAAGTGAGAGGCTGGCGCGGCCAGTGGGCAACCTGGAAAATGTCAGGTGACTGCCTCTCGTCGCGACAGACCACAGAGGCAGGAGTTCATTTTCTTGGAAGTGTCCACTGAGTGCACCAGCTTCTCAGACGCACTGCGACAAGCGGGCTCTGGAGTGGTCAGCGTGTTGGAGCCGTTCCCGCAAGACGCGTTATTAGCTGAGGAGAGTTTTGGCCAAGCAAAATCCTTGGTTTCAAAGGCCAATCATCTTCATGTCACTTTCTCAGGCGGGTCAGTTTCCTGCCCTGCAGACCCATTGACAGGGCAGGAAACCTGCTTGCTGGAGAAGGCCGTTGCTCTATGTTTGTGGGCGCTCAAGTTGGATGGCACAGTTTCCTTCATTAGCGCTGAGAGCTCCCCTGTGTGGCAGACGAAGCTCCTCCAGCGGCTCTCGCGGAGAATACAGCGGCAGCCTTTCAGTTTGCTTCAGAGCAATGGCGAAGCAGGGTCTGAAAGGGAGATCGCAGTCCTGACTAACGCTGAGTGGTTGACGCCTGACGTGCACCTCGCCGTGAGCCATGGTGAACGTTGCTGCAACCCGTGGGTAAGCCATGCAAATGCGTTGGTTCAGTGGCTTCACTCTTCAGAAGGGCAGCGTGCCAGAGATCAAGTGACCTACATGAGAGTGGGTGTGCATCAGAATGTTCTTGTCAGGAAGAGCCTCATTCATGGCAACGACGTGGATGCTGGCGCGAACAATTCGAGCTCACAGCTGCAATCGCGATCACAGATCAGGGAGCAAGAAAATGCATCATGCCTTGGCGGGCTCCGGGACCCGAGACGGGCAGTTGCACGGTCGGCGTCGCTGCGCAAGGTGGGCGACAACATTCGTGTTGCCTTGGATGCTTGCTTGGATGGCTGCGCTTTGGACTCGTTCGAGAAGTCGACAACGACGTGCCCCTTTTCTGAGGCTGTTATCGCAAAAGCAAGAGCTAGGTTGAGCGCTGTCTTTCGCGCTCCCTTGAGAGAGCGCGGGTTTCAAGACCAGCTCCTGCAGCAGTTGATGACGGAAGCCCACGACCCGGATGCGCACGTCGTGCCAAAGTGGATGAATGAGGGATTTCCACTTGGAATCTCGAGGCCCATCATTCACACAAATGTCTTCCCCAGCACTGATAGTGTTTCCGCATCCATCAAAGCTTCTCAGGCCATCGGGACCTTGATTGAGGACTGGGATGGTCGCGCGCAAAACTATAAATCCTTCCAGGAGGCTGGGCCGAAGGCTGAGCTAGAACTAGACAGGCTGGTTGCAGACGGCCGTGCCGAACTGGTGGCTAGCTGGCAGGAAGTTACCGATGCAGTCGGGCCCCATGCCAAACTCACAAAGCTGGCATGCATCATCAAGCAACGAGGTGATGTTGAAAAGGTTCGGCTATTGGTCGACATGAGGCGCTCCGGGATCAACGGCTTGATGGATCTTCGTGAAAGAATTGTCTTACCACGCATTTCCGATGTGGCCGATTCGTTGCGACACATTGTGAGAGATCCTCGAAATCGCGGCTGCACTCCTGAGTTTATGATCGCTGATTTTTCTGATGCTTTCTATACCTTGGAAGTGCATCCCGATGAGCGGGGGTACATCGTGGTCAAAGGCTCCAAGGGGTTCTTTCTCTTGAAGGTCATTTGCTTCGGATTGGCTTGCGGTCCGGTTTTGTGGGGACGAGTGGCTGCAGCTATTATGCGGCTGGGGCAAGCAGCGACTAGAGATCCTGAGGGTCGTGTGCAGTGCTTCGTGGATGATCCGCTGATGATTGCTATGGGCAAAGTGCGCAGGGACAGAACCTTGGTGTTTGCCAGGTACACCTTGTTCTGGACCTGCCTTGGCTTCCAGCTCGCGTGGCACAAGACCGTCCGAGGCATTCACGTTGATTGGATCGGGGTCTCTTTGCAGTTGAGCGAAGATGCAAGACGTATGGTGGTATGCTTGACGGCTGACAAAGCCCAAAAGCTACTCGATGCGTTTGCCGAGATCAAAGCTGCGAAGGGCATGATAGCCACTGCTCGTTTGCGACAAATTGCCGGCCTTCTCAGCTGGGTCTCCAACCTCATGCCCAGTGCCCGGCCTTGGACGTCAATGATCTGGGCTGCTGTTCACTCCGCTGAAGGGCCAAAATCTGTCAAGTCGGGCACTCGGCAAAGGAAAGGCCTAACGTTCATCAAACAGATTTTGCACGCCGTTCTCTGGTTAGAGGCCATGGTTAGAGCAACGTTGAAGGGGCCGCTGGCAGAGGCGTCTACTCATGGACCAGTCATGCGACATGTGTACGATTTCAGTCCTGAGCCGCCGGTAGTCCTGATACAAACCGACGCCTGTCCCACTGGGATAGGTGCAGTGTTGTATGTGTCGGGAGCGGTTCGGGCTTGGTTTAGCGAGCCCCTGACGGCTCAAGACATGCAGTTATTGGGTGGCGGGGCCCAAATCGGTGATCCTGCCTACCAAACCGAGTTTGAATTGTGGGCCGTTGTTTTGGCAATCAAAACCTTCGGTCCCGTTTTTCACGGTGAGCACGTTCGTTTCTTTCTTCAGACTGACAACAGTGCTGCGTTACAGGCAGCCTTAGAGTTCAAGGCCAAAAGCCCGCTGCTCACATATATCGCCTCTGAGTTGACAGTGACGCTGGCAGCTTTTAATGTCGCGCCGCTCTGGGGGGAGCATCTGCCCGGGGTGCTGAATGACGTTGCTGATGCGCTGAGCCGTGGCTCGGTGCCTGCAGCGGTGACGGGCAGTCCGCGGTGCGAGGTTCCGCCCAGGGCGCGCGACTTGTTCTGGGTTTTGCCGTCCCTCTCGGGAGGAGGTGAAGCCTAGAAGCCGCACAGTCGACGTGAGCCTGAAAATCGGATATAAGCCTGCTGTTGCTCGCAGACTCGTGCAACTTGCTTTCGAGTCCTAGCCCGTTGATTGTTTTCCTTTCATTCCGACTGCTTGCTTTGGTTTTGCTTCTTTGTTAGCCGCAGCTGTTTGCTCCTCGGGCCCATGCATCGCGAACTTGGTTCAGGGCGGAGACGATCAGGCGATGCCAGGACGGCCGTTCTGAGGTCCGGCCTGCTATGGGCAAGGCAAACGTCCTCCACTTTGAGTCCTCGGCCAATCGCAGGCAGTGGTGGAATCCCTTGGTCATGCAGTGATGTGGTGGGGCCAGAGCCAGCGGTGTCAATTGGACAGCTCCTCGCGTTACCTGCGCAAGCTGCCGTGCGTGATGTAACGGTACGTGACAGTCAGCGTCCTCAACACCATCCCATGGGTTGTTCACCTGCTGCTTTGCAAGTGGGCTCCCGGCTTCCTTTTTGCGGGCTCCTGCGCAAGCGCAAGGATGCACCTTTGGAGCCAGCAGCTCCGAAGGCCAAGAGAGCCAGAGGATCGCTGGACATGGCCTTGCATATTGCCGGGGACGAGGGGGCGCTCGCGCATGCCATGGCAGAGTTTGAGGAGCTGAAGTATGCGGTAGGCACGGACAAATCCAAAAGATCCCACTGGGCGGCTTGGACCAAAGTCATGGAGCTGAGGCGAATGGACCCGCTGCCCGTGACACCCAAGAAGCTTGATGAATTTTCGGGGATCCTGCGCGCCAGTGGATTTCGCTCGGGTTTCACCTACGTGCTTGAAGCGAAGCAGCAGCACATCAGAGCGGGGTTTACATGGACTGATCAGCTAGAAGTTGCCCTTCAAGACTCAAAGCGTGCGCTCACACGCGGGCTCGGGCCTGTCACTAGGTCTGAAGAAATCAGGCTTGAGTGGTGGAAGGTTCTTGTCCAGGTGCGTGGTGAGGAGGCCGGCGACCACGACTCCTCGTTGGGGCCTGCTGGCGGTGTGGCCGTTTGGGCCTTTGGGTCTCTCTTCATTCTCCGCGAGGTGGAGTTGGGAACTCTCACGCTCGGCCCCGAGTCAATTCGGCTGGATGAAAGTGCTCGTACAATCACTTTGGGGCTAGCTGTGTCAAAGACCGACCCAGCCGCAAGAGGGTGCAAGAGAACTTTAGCTTGCACATGTCACAATCAGCGAGCGCACTGGGTGGAATGTGGCTTTTGCCTAGGTGAACGACTTGTTAAGTTGCAAGAGTCGCGACTGGGCTTGTCGCGTTCTGATCCAGTTGCTAGCTGCGCTCCTTTGGTAGGCACTATTGGGGATCCCTGGGCTTTTGTTGAAAAGAAAGCCATGATTGATGCAGCTAAGTTTGCTGCAAAAGAACTATTGCAGTTTTGTCCTCAATTCTCGGGACTGTTTGATGTGGATGCGTTGACGGGGCACTTCATGCGGAGATCCGGCGTCAAGCGGCTGGCCCGAGCAGGTGTCCCTGTTGACCTCATCCAGTTCATGTCCAGACACAGTAGCAGCGCCGTGCAAGTTTACATTGAAGGAGCCCTGGAGGAGTGCCCTCAGCGGCACGAGATGCTGGCCAGCTATCTCGGAAGCATGCGTGAAGTGGATGTGCTACGGCAGCAGGTCCAAACCATCCAGGAGCAGATGAACCACATGTCCTCATCTTCGTCCAGTGTTCCAGCAGATCAGCTGAAGGCTGAGGTAGAGAGATTTTTGCGGCCGGTCGCTGTATTGAACCAGGCAACGGGCAAACTTCACTCGACCAAGGGCTGTTCGTTCAGAGGTCCCCCGCTTGCATGGACAGCTGCTTGTGGTTGGCCATGGGTCAGAAGCGGCAACACTGCTCGGGAGATTTCTGCTGATGAGCTGGAGAGCGGCTCTTGGTCATGGTGTGAGCACTGCAGTAAAGGGCTGCGGAAATAG